GGCCTGGGCCGGTGGGCGGAGCAGAGCCCTGAGGACTGCAGGCAGAGCCGAAACCAACGCTCTGCCGCCTGGCAGAGCGCGCGCTTGCCAGGCGACGCCAGTTACCAGCTGCACGGCCCTGGCAGGTCACCCAAACTCGCCGAGCCTCTGTGTCCTTATACCTAAGTGTGGATGATAATATAGTACACCTTCCAGCGTTATTACAGGGATGAGAGCTTGAGAAGGGACAGAGAATGGGGAAACTGAGGCAAGGAAGAGAGATAGGGAGGCACATGGAAGAGGAAGTCGACAGATAGACATGAAGGGATATCGTGACGAGTGAGGTGGAGACTTAGGGAGGGCGAATGTCCCCAAGCCAGATTCTCTCTCCCACCAGCCAGTGGGCACCTCCAGGATCCGGTGGGGTCTCAGTGGTGGTGGAATGATGGAGGGACAAGGGAGAGGCACAAGGAGACAGCCCCTGGCGGGGGTGGAGAGTGAAGGAAAGGTCCAGAAGAGGTTCAGGACAGGGAGAGGGGACCTGGGGAGGGAAGGGGCAGTGACCCCAGGAAAGGGGAAGAGTGGAGGAGGAACAGCTCAGCAAGTCCAGAAGAAGCCAGAGGGCCAGGAGGGGCCCCCGCTCTCCTGGGCCCAGCCGACCTGGCTCTCTGGTCTACAGGGCCAGCATCTCCTCCAGGCCCCCCACTGCCTGTGCAGATAGGGGCTGTCGACCAAGTGGTGTCAGTAGCCAGTCACACTGGTGGGGACCTAGCCCCTTAGCTGGACAGAGCCAAGTATCCAGGAAGGGCTGGGCAGGCAATGACCCCTCTGCAGGTAGGGTCTCAGGGGACCCAGGGCTGGGGACAGTCCTGCAGCCACACCCTATGGAGCATGGGTGAGAGCCTGGAACTGATTATGAAACGTCTAGTTGGGAGGCCTTTGGGAGCAGATTCAAGGGCAAGGATGCCAAAGTCAGCAGAGCTGAGTTCAAATCCCGGCTTAGCCCCTCTCACTGGCTGTGGGAACTCACCCTACCCTCCGGGAGCCTCAGTTTCCCCATCTATAACTCAGGGTGAACGGTGCCCTGCACCTCACCTGACACAGAACAGGCACTCAGCAGAGACTTGTTCTCTCCCTTTCCTTGTCTAAGTACCTGTGCGGGACGGTCATACAGACGGAGGATCAGATACAGTGTTGGCTGCTCGGGGCAGAATAGAAATAACAACTATAGATCCTCCTGTGTGGCTTCGATAGGAAGACAGTGACGACATTGTGAATATGGAATTGGCAACACTGGGGAGTGGGAGCCTGCCCGGTGGCGCACTGGTTAAGCACGTCTGCTCCGCTTTGGTGGCCCCGGGTTCACAGGTTCGGATCCCAGGCGCATACCGACGCACCGCTTGTTAAGCCATGCTGTGGCAGCGTCCCATATAAAATGGAGGAAGATGGGCACGGATGTTAGCCCAGGGCCAGTCTTCCTCAGCAAAAAGAGGAGGATTGGCGACAGATGTTAGCTCAGGGCTAATCTTCCTCTCACACACACAAAAAAACACTGGTGAGTGGGGAGCATCCTGTCACTGGAGGGGAGCAAGTAGAGGTCTTGAATGCCAGAACACAGAGTCTAGAACTTTATGCTACTGAAGAGGTGAGCCAGAGTTTGAGCTGTGTATTTGTGAGTGTGGAATGATGGAGAGGGGGAGTGACGCTTTGGGGTGGAGGTCATGGCTGGAGGGGAGAGTCTATGAACAGAGGGTTCACGTGGTGCATTTAGTTGGTGGCACATTCTCTTAGCACCTACCAAATGTTAGGCATGTGCAGTGCATGGGGCCTCACCCAGAGAGGAAACAGGTGCAGGAACGGCAGGGCCGCTGGGCTGGGAGGCTCGGGGAGACCCCAGTGCACAGGAGAACAGCGGGAGGTAGGTGCCAAGCCTAGGACAGGCTGGGCAGAGCACACCAGAAAGCACAGTTACAAATGAAAAGTCAGAAAAGGGAGCTGCCCCACCAATTCTCTGGTAACTAGCGCTGCTTCCACAGTGGAACTCGGTGCAGAGAGGCTGCCGTCTTAGGCAGGGGCAGCATCCCCTTCCCACGTTCTCACCTTGCACCTGCCCTGCCTTCACATGGTGAGCCTCCAGTTCATCAACTGTAAAATGGGGATAATACCAGTTCCTCACCACTGCCCTATGGGGCGGAGGGGAACCAGTGTTGTTCCCATCTTCCAGATGAGGAAACTGAGGCACTGAAAGCTCATGCAGGAGGAAGTGGCAGGGCCTGAGCCTCTGTGCTGCTGGCCGCCTCCCTCACCAGCCAAATGCAAGATAAAGAGGGAGCAACTGGAAAGGCTCAGTGGAAGGGCCTTATTAAACAGAGACTTCAGAAGATGACATGGAAGATGAGACCATCTGACAAGGCAGAGCATGAGCAAATGAAGCTGGAATCAAGGTCAGTGTTAGGGCAGTATTTTCAGTCTTGACATATGTTAAGGTAACCAAATGTTTTTATTTTCTCCAGAAAACTAATGGTTCTTTATACCCACTGCTTTTTTTTTTTTTTTTTTGCTGAGGAAGATTTGCCCTGAGCTAACACCTGTTGCCAATCTTCTTTTTTTGCTTGAGGGAGATTCACCCTGAGCCAACATCTTTGCCAAGCTTCCTCCACTTTGTATGTGGGTCACCGCCATAGCATGGCTGATGAGTGCTGTACGTATGTCCGCACCTGGGATCTGAACCCGAAAACCTGGGCCACTGAAGCAGAGCACGCGGAACTTTAACCACTAGGCCACAGGGCCAGCCCCTGCAATTTTTTTTTTATTATTATTAGGAGAGTAATGTTCCTCTCCTTTCATGAAAGAGAAACATTTTTCAGTTACTAAAGTGATAAGAAGTTGTAAAAATCCTTTGGTTTTGTGTATTCAAGTGACAGTCTCCCCTCAAAGCATCAAGAGTTGGGGTGAGGAGGGATTTGAGATTTCAGGTGCTGCTGGTGGGAAGTGATTGCCACAGCTGTAGGGAAGGACGAGTTGGCAATACCTGTTAAACACTTTGCCCCAGTAATTCCACTTCCAGAAATGTGTCCTACACACACCCTCGTTCAAGTATGCAGAGATTTATACAAAGTTGTGTAGCTGTTAAAGCCTGGATTATGGAGCCAGACTGCCTATATCCCAGCTCTGCTGCCTATGAGCTGTGTGACCTCGGGCAAGTTACTTACTCTCTTTGTATCTCAGTTTTCTCACCTGTAAAATGGGTAGAATAATCGTATCTACTCCATAGGTGTGGTAGGCTGAATAACATTCGCTCAAAGATGTCCACCTCTTAATCCCGGGAACCTGTAAATATGTTACCTGATACGGTAAAAGGGACTTTGCTGTTGTGACTAAGTTAAGGATCTTGAGATGGGGAAATTATCCTGGACTATCTAGCTGGGCCCCATGTAGTCACAAGGCTCCTTATAAGAGGGAGGCAGGAGGATCATAGTGAGTAACAGGAAGTGTGATGATGGTGGAGCGAATAGGAAGCGAGAGGAGGAGTGATGTGAGGAAGAGGTCACGAGCCAAGGAAGTCAGGTGGCCTCTAGAAACTGAAAAAGACAGATTCTCCCCTGCAGCCCTCAGAAGGGACACAGCCCTGCCAACACCTTCATTTTAGACCTGTGACCTCCAGAACCCTAAGATAATAAGTGTGTGTTGTTTTAAGCCAAGCTGGTGGTAATTTCTTACAGCAGCCACAGGAAACTCATACTACTGCATGTTGTGAGGATTCGTGGGTTAATGTCTATGGTTGCTCCAGTGTAGCACACAGGGAGTGTTCCATAAATGACAGCTCTTATGTGGATCAGAGACTGTTTGTAATAATGGAAACGTGAGATAATCCAAACATCCATCAGGAGTGGAGTGATTCAAAACTCCGTCCATACTATGGAACCACGGCAAGTCAATAAGAAAGAGGCTGCTCTGTGGGTATTGACGTGGAGAAATGATGATGAGGAGGAGGAGGAGGAAGAGGAGGACATCACAGCTGTTTCCTGAGTCCTCTGCACATCAGGGACTAAGCTAAGCACCCTCCCTGTATTATCTCTTCTGATCCTCGTAACAATGTGGGGGATCTGTTTCAGTCTGAGAGAAACCACCAAGCAATCTGAACAAAGTCCAATATAAAGAATTATTACTATAATGGGACTGGAGTAACAAGATTGTCTAGTAAGAAGTAAAGAGAACTCTAGGGGCTGGCCCGGTGGCATAGTAGTTAAGTTCTCGTGCTCTGCTTCCTGGGGCCAGTTCCTGGGCCACTTCCTGGGGTTCGCCAGTTCCGATCCTGCGCGCAGATCTACACACCGCTCATCAAGCCATGCTGAGGCGGCATTCCCCATAGAGCAGCTAGAAGGATGTACATGCAACTATCTGCTGGGGCTTTGGGGAGAAAAAAGGGAAAAAGGAGGAAGATTGGCAACAGATGTTAGCTCAGGGCTAATCTTCCTCAAAAAAAAAAAAAAAGTAAAGAGAACTCTAAAGAATACAGGAATAGCAGAGATAAAGAGCAGCCCCCACCCTTAGGGCTGAGAAGGAATGACCCCCACAGGAACAGCTGCCATCCAGCCCCAGGCCTGAGATCCAGACCCGGTTGAAGACAGGGAATGGTTGTGGCTCACTGGATAGTAGAGAAGTTGCTGAAGTGCTGCGTAGGCCCCATGGAACTTGCTAGAAAGCAGTCTTTTAGGGTGGTGGGAAGAGGCATTCCACTACTCCCACGTGGGAGTGCGGTGCTGAGAGAAGCAGCTGCCGCTGGGTGCCGCTGGCCACCTTCGTTGCAGGAGCCTGTGCTGGAAAAGCTGCCCTCGTGGCAGGAGCTGAGCTGGAGAGGCTGGCGCCTGCTGCGGAACCTGCTGAGAGCCAGCAGCGCATCAAACAGGAAGCAAACTTCCTCCTCAAGAAATGGCTGTCAGCGCCCTCTACTGGCAAAACCTAACATTGTGCCATCTAGCAAAGGAAAAATATTGATAGGACCCAGATCCATTTTCACAGAGCAGGGAAACGTGATGACTTAGGAGCTGAGAGGCAATAAATTAATAACTGGCACAGAATCATTAGTTCCATTTTTACAGATGTGTAAACGGATGCTCCAGAGAGGGGCAGCAGTACAACCAGTGTGCTAGGATTTGCTTTGCTCTACAAAGCGCTTAGAAAGCAGGTTGCAAAATTATCCATGTCACATTGATGTGGTAATAACTCCACGAACCATAAACGTGCCCAGACATACTCTCCAGCCCGGAGGAATACACACCAAATGCCAGCGGTTCCCTCCAGGACATGAGGATGACAGCGAGTTCTCCTTGCTATATTATTAGGTGGAACAGTATGGAATTGCTGTGTTTGTAGGTCAAAAATAGTGAAATATTGGCAGTTTCATACAGTTCAACATAATATTTACTTCTGTGATGTGATGTTTAAAGTTTTCACAAGGGTGAATTATTTTTATAAACAGGAAACAATATATATGTATATACATATACTTATACACATACATAAATGTATACATATAATTTCATTATATATATAACAATATAAATGTATTATGTATGTATGTTTTGGAAAGTCCTCTCTCCCACTGTCTTTTTCCTGTAGTGGTCTCTTTCCCTCCAATAAAATAGAAACTTTAAGCTTAACTAACAGGATTCCGAAGCCTTCAGGGGACAATTTCTTATTCAACCCACTGCAAGTTCCCAAGAGCTACTTGCTAATGGTCTATACTTTGTTTTCTGATGACTTACCATAGCATAAAACCTGTCATTTGTGTTCTTTCTACTTATTTTATGAGTTTTAAGTCATGAAACAGAAAAAGCTGCTATTACACAATGGTGGATCCTATGTGGCACTTCACCAAATTTAATTTTAGAAAGTATTTGAGGGGCCAGCCCCATGGCTTAGCAGTTAAGTGCACACGCTCTGCTACTGGCAGCCCAGGTTTGGATCCCAGGCGGGCAGCAACACACCGCTTCTCTGGCCATGCTGAGGCCACGTCCCACGTACAGCAACTAGAAGGATGTGCAACTATGACATACAACTATCTACTGGGGCTGTGGGGGAAAAAAAAGGAGGAGAATTGGTAATAGATGTTAGCTCAGAGCCAGTCTTCCTCAGCAAAAAAAAAAGGAGGATTTGCACGGATGTTAGCTCAGGGCTAATCTTCCTCACACACAAAAAAAGAGAAAGTATTTGAATTGTGCTTTGTCCTAAATCTAAATATTGAGAATTAAAGAAAACATTTCATGGGCCGGCCCGGTGGCACAGCAGTTAAGTCCGCGCGCTCCGCTTCGGCGGCCTGGCGTTCGCAGGTTCGGATCCCGGGCGCGCACCAACGCACTGCTTGTTAAGCCATGCTGTGGCGGCATCCCATATAAAGTAGAGGAAGATGGGCACGGATGTTAGCCCAGGGCCAGTCTTCCTCAGCAAAAAAGAAGAGGATTGGCATCAGATGTTAGCTCAGGGCTGGTCTTCCTCACAAAAAAAAAAAAAGGTATGATCCTCAGAATTTTTATCAGAAACTT